CTCATCATCATCATCATCATCATCATCATCATCATTGTTTAAAAAGCAGAGTAGATAGGGAGGATCTTGATTGATTTGAAGACAAAAAATAAAATAAAAGATGTTTTAAAATTTGGTATGGTTGGGGTAGTGCTAGGAAAGGGGAGAAGGGGAGGGATAGAGAATGGGAGGGGGGAGGGGGAGGGGAAAGGAATGATATGGCAGAGGGCAGGGGAGAGACTATGAGATGTGGGTTAGTTAGGGTATAGATATATCTATGGGGTATAGCAAAATGGGGGAATGCCACACCTTACTTTTCAATTGAGTTGTGAGACAAGTGTTATAGAAGCTACTCTATGTAGAAAGAGGACACATCCTCCACAACAGTTTTACTTTGTGTCTGATAAGTTAGGAAACAAAACATAATATGAATTCTACCATATCACCATCCCCATACTTCCATTTTTCAACTTAATTAAAAATGTAATATGGCGGGGCAATTCCACACCCACGTGAGCACACATGCCAAAATGAAAATAAAAAGACAGACATACCAGAAATTAAAACTGAATTTAAAAATAAAACATGGCAGACAGAAGGAATCAATGATTAAAGGTGAATGTCAAACAGATTTCTGTTGGTTCTAAGGGCTGTAAGTTGGTGGTGTGGAACTACCCCCGGGTGTGGAATCCACCCACCTTCGCATACGTTCAATGAGACATGGGGATAACTTTAGAACGACAAATGTACGCTATTGGCCGATATTTATAGTAACAGTCATCTTGTTTGACGTCATTGAGGGATTCCCACTTTGTTGTCGTTCACGGAGGCAACATGACCACAAAGCACTATTGCACTATTTTTAAAGCCTGTAGCCTACAGTGGTGTGGTGGCGGAGTAGTTAGTGCGCTTGTCTCCAAAGCAGAAAGTCCAGATTCGAGCCTCGGTTCGGCAACGGATTTTTTTTTTTTTTGGCTCAATGGCGTCAAACAAGGAAGCTGTTACTATAAACATCGACCAATGGCGTACATCTGTCGTTCTAAAGTTCTCCGCATGTTCCAATGAGTTCCATGCACGGCCATGCGTGTGTCTGTCCTCCTCAGTTGACCTAGATGCTGTCCTGGACCAAATCATCGCACAGATCGACAGTGACGCCACCAGGGGAACCTGTGAGGTCGTTTGCTTCTCCACCCTGGCTCCTCTCTTAGACCGCCTGGCTGTTGTAGCAGCCGTCGCCTGCCCCCGGGTCTGTAAATTGTAAGTTTGGGGCGATGTTAATGTGTGTTTTGTTTTGTTTTGGTAAGTGTTTCACGGCGCTCGCATCTGCATAAGGTGATTTGAGTGGGCAGAACACAAATATATCTTTCATTTTGATAGGAATCAAATTTCAATTTTGCCCGAGTGGTGGCCGAAGCCTACTCTTATCGATTTTGAACGACCAAGGGATCTTTGCAAACGGGACCACCGAGATTTGTTCACACTTATCCAAGAAGGCTAGGAGTTAAATCTTACCTACCCTAAGATAATTATTATTATTTTACTTTTATTTTTATTTTTTTTTGTTTTTTTGTGTTTTTTAAATTAATTTTTCAAAAAAATTAATATATTATTATTATTATTAATATTATTTTTTATTATTATTATTATTATTATTATTATTATTATTATTATTATTATTATTATTATTATTATTATTATTCTTGTTATCAATTTATTAATTTATTTATTTATTTTTATTGTATTATTATTATTCTTATTATTATAATTATTATTATTATTGTTATTATTATTATTATCATTATCTTTTTAATGATGGTTACTATTATTTGTATTATTATATTATTATTATTATTATTATTATTATTATTATTATTATTATTATTTTTAATTATTGATAACTGGGTAAACTGTTATGTTAGACTGCGACGGTTAACAGGCCGGATGTGGCCTGTGGGCGTTGTTTGCCCGGGTCTGGTGTGCGACGTCACAACACAAAGTGAGGGGTCATGGCTGCCTCCTACTTTTTTTTTCTTATTGATAAGTGTTTTACGGCGCTCACAACCTCATAAGGACATATGAGCCGTCGGGACACATTTGAGCAATTTCAGTTGGTAGGAAATGTAGTATTTTGCCCGGGTGGCGGCCGAAGCCTACTCTTGTCGATGTCACTGTCTCCTTCTTCTTCTTCTCCTGGGTACAGAACAGGTGGTGGCTCCAAATATGAGCGCTGAGTTGTGACGCTTCACTTCAGTCTGGTGACTCTTTAGCTCTGGTGGGTGGTTGGCGGGTGCTCTGGTGGGGTTTGCTCCTTCTTTCCTATCAAACATCTATCTTTCTGATCTCTCCTTCTTTTTTATGTTTGTTACTCTTTTGTAACACATCTAATCTTCGGCACTTATATAACCTTATTGTGTTGTAAGTGCCGTTAAACTCTTACAAAAAAACAGTATTTAAAAAACAATAAACTTTTAGCTCTGCGTGTTTGAAAGTAAAAGTAAGGTTGAGTCCTTCATCCATAGCTTACCTGACCTACTACGCACGTCCTAGGTCTCTGTTCTGTTTGGACTCACTGTGGGTCGCTCTGAGAGTATTGGGGGAAGTCACTTTTGATTTTATTCTTTAGTTTAGTTTTAGTAAGAGTTTTACGGCACTTTCAACACAGTAAGATCAAATAAGTGTCCAAGAATAGAGGTGTTACAAGAGAGTAACAAACACAAAAAGGAGGAGAGATAAGGACAATAGATGTTTGATAGGAAAGAAGGAGCAAGCCACACCAGAGCACCCGCCAACCACCCACTATTTATTCTTGATTGACGCATTGATTGATTAACCCTATTCGTACGCCCTGGGGTCATTTTGTACCCCCGGGTTGTATTCTTCAAATTTTAGAATACTTCTAGTACGAAAATTTCTTTGAAACTTTCAGTATTTCTCAAAAAATCATTTTGACAGACAGTTATATGCAAAGCGTACGGAACGGATTAACGAGTCAATTTCCTCTTTCGAAAATGGTGACACAGACTTCCCCGCGTCGTATAGATACGATAGTAAAACACGACGTACGGATAGGGTTAAGTGGTGGCACAGAGTTCCCCACGTCGTATGGATACGATTGTAAAACACGACGTATGGATAGGGTTAATTGATTAGTTGATTGACCGATCGTTCACGTGATCGAGTGATAGACTGACTGACTGCATACTTTACTTTACTTTACTTTACTTTACTTTTCCGATCCAGCGGCCTTTTGGGTTCTAGCCTATCGGTCTGTCGATATGGCAAAGAATTTGCAGGTTTTAATCAACTGTGTTTTGTCGCTGTATAGAGTGTTTCCGATGTCTGAGGAGGCAGGTAGGTAGGTGATACACAGGTCGCTAAGTGCAGGGCAGGTAATGAGGTGGCATGGTACTGTTTCATCCTAGAAGTCGCACAACGGGCAGTCGGGTGGGGTATCCTTGCGGATCCTATTAAGGTAAGAATTTAGTGGTATGTGTTGTGTTCGCAGGAGAAAGATCGTGACTTGTTCTCTTCGACTGCAATAACTGATCACTTGTAACATCTGTGTCTGTCCCCAGTGCTCTGTCGGAGCTGGAAAAGGTTCTGGAGAAAAAAAAGCCGCCGCCCAAACCTGCCCGGTAACATTTCTGTTCCTGTCCTTGCTCCTTCCTTCTCTGACGTGGCTCACAAAATCGTGTGTCGTCCCATGAGACCGTGGTGGGGCAGCATGAACGACACCCACCATGTCACGTGACTCTCACATCTCGCCACGTCTGATGTCACGACGCTACCTTACTGGTGTGTCTTGTTGCTTCATCAGTCAGAAATATGTTGCTGCTCTGTGATGTAACTGTCTCATCATAATAAAATGATAATGATAATATTGCAAACCTTCACTCTTTTCTTTGTTCCTAAGATTTAATTAAGTGTGTATAAAACATGACCGCAACTTGAAAACTGTCTTTTTCAAAGTTTAAGTATCAGTAATGATTAGTTTTATTTTAGTACGGTTTTACGGAAGCTCGCAACTGCATAAGGTAATATGAGCGCCGAGGGATGGATGTCAACAAAGAAGTCCAAACGGCGAATCAGATTTACTCTGCTTTCCTCTCTAGCTTCAACAGCACAAAGTCTACTACGACTATCAAGGCACCCCGGAAAAAGCGGGAAAATAAGTAGGGTGAAAAAATGGCAACAGTAAGGATTAGGAAAGAACAAGCAGCCGTTCCCTGTTGCAGGTCAGGCACAGTTATGAGCATGACATTGATGAATCAGCCCATTTACAATTACAATTCTACTGTGCACTAGAACTCGAGATGTTAATGCCCCCTCCCCCTTTTGGGAATGGCATAAAGAAACTTCAGTCAGTAGCACCGCCCCCGGGGGGGGGGGGGGTAACAGATTGGCTCTAGGCAATCCAAGACAGCAAAATCAGACGCTGGCAGTGGATCTTCTGCCCAGGACATGCAGGAGTCAAGGCAAGTGAAAGAGCAGATAAGCCAGCAGGCTCCGCAAACCTATAGAGAGAGTGCTTACCCTTGACCCTCCAACTGTAGTAGCCCTTGTTCAAGATCACCTAGCCAGCTGCCGTGACGAGGACTCCTTCAGGAAGGAGATCGTGATTGAGAAAGGAGTACAGCCTGGTGAAGGTAGGAGGAGCGTGACCCCATCAGACGCTACACCAACCAGCTGATGTTGGAGACAGTCAGCCTGCCCACACTGAAATGGACCCTTATGAAGAGAGGCAAGGAAGCATGGAGCATCCCGTCTTCCTAAGACCCCCGTTCTTCATTCAAGTATTCAAGTCAATAACCAAAACTAAAAGTGAGTGAAAAACAAAACAAAACCCTAAACTGTACATAACGGGGGAAAAACAAACCTTAACAAGACGCTCATCAATAGCAACACACATAGGTAGAAGACTCACCACAAAACACAAACACAAACGACGTAGGTGAAGGATCTAGGAGTATTTATCGTCACGTTATGGCGTGGGTTGTGGAATCAGGCACTCGTCAATTTTGGCAATGTGGGGTTATTGGTATCATCTGAAAGCTCATTCATTTTCGTTTCTTTCGATTTTTAAAAAGTCCATCTATCTTGAATAGAAGTTGAAATATTTGCGGTTGAAGGCGGTGGGGTCGCCTGGTTTCATAGGTAAAATAGCAGGGGGGAAATGGCCACCAAAGTTTGGTAACTTCAATAGCTTTTTCAGAAAAATTCAAAATGGAGATGTTTTTATAAGGACATACAAATGGTTGAGCCAAACAACACAATTTTGACAAAAATTTCCAAACTGACAGAAAAATGCCTGTTTCTTCGATTCCACTATTTTGACGAGCGCCGGGTTTCACCACGCTGCCTCACATTTATTGAGAACAGATTTTTATCATTCTCCTATCATAGCAAGTGCTGGCAATGTGCTTCCTCCCTTCCCCTTCCCCTCCCCCTTCGACCCACCACCTGACTCGGCTGGCAACATTAATTTCTTCTCTTTTAAATAATGTTTTAAAATTATTTTTTTAATTAAATGTTTTACGGCGCTCGCAACTGCATAGGGTCATGTGAGCGCGAGGGATACACTCGACATTTTTCAGTTGGTAGGACATTTTGAATTGTGCCCGGGTTGCGGCCGAAAGCTATTTAGTTGATTTGGACCACCAAGGGATCTTTAACGTGGGCAACTTGAACACGGACCTCCAAGATTTTTTCGCCCTTGTTCAAGATGACCAAATGTAGATCTTACCTACCATAAGATCAGGGATGTGGCTGAAAGACAGCGGTAAGCAGAAGTAGAAAGGCTGCAGAAAGAGTCAGGAGCCCAGACGAGGGGGCAAAGGAGGGGTGGGGGGGGGGTCAGAAAGTGGAGACGAAAGCAGACCACAGAACATTGTTAGCAGGAAAGGATGTGAAAGGAGAAAATTGTCGCTATCCGGATTCGAACGCGGGACCTATTGAATGAGAGGCGAATACCTTAACCTCTAGACCTTTCCCCAGTACAATTGGTCGCTTTTAAGCACAAGGGGGCTATCCCGAAAAACGCTGTTTTGAGAAAATCGAAGATAACGTTTTTGCCCCTTGTTCAGTTTCGTTCAAAGACAAGTAAAGTTTTCTCTATAACCGAACAAACATACACACCAATGAAACCAAACTTCTATAGGCTATAGGTAAAATTATGTCACTTTTGAGTTGATCAAGATTTCTGGAAACCCCCGAAATCTGGGTTAGCCCGCTTATCCTTACAAGCGACCAATTATCCTTCTCTAGACATGAGCCCGGTTATAGTTAGGGTGTTGCTGAGTTAGCTCGTCAGTCACTGGACAGTCACGTGACACAGGTAGATATTTCTATACAAGAGAATGTCTGTGTACTTTTGCCAGCAGACTTACTCATTTACAAACAAGTCACTCTTTTTGTTTACCTTCCCAAAGCTCGTGCACACCATCTCACAGTCACTGATTGTTCAGCGCTGTTTGGTGCAGCAACGTTCAACAACGTTTTGTCACGTGACGTCACGAATTTTTGCGGAAAATAAAAGTTCCTTCTTTCAAGGAAGAAACAAAACAAAAGACAACGTAGAGGAATCCTCTCTGGACTTTTATGTGACTTTTCCGATAACAACCTAATATAAAGAATAATATGATTCTTCTTGCTCGGATTATTTTTATACTTACAAAGAATTTCCCACAAAGCAAGAACCCGTTTGTAAACTGGAGCATAGGTTCAGCTTTGTGGTCTCTTTACGGTAGAAAATGGGATATGGCATGAAGTGGTCAACTAGGCCTAGTTTATACTCATTATAATAGAAACTCTTGGAATTAGATTTCAAACAAGCGGACATCTACATCCCATGTTATTACTGAAATTGACCTATCGCTTTTCTTCGTACCCACACTTTGTTTTTGTTTTTTCCAAAAGCGAAAAAAAAAACTGATATAAGAGCACATAACACTAATAACAGTTCTATCGCGGAAGTACTTCAATAATGAATGCGGCGTAGTCAACTGAAAAACAGCAGTATTTAAAAAGCGTTTTGTTATTACTAATACTACATATTATTTCTGTTCTTTATCACTGTCTAGCTTCACGAATCGTGATAACACTGCTTGGCTGATGGTGTCTTTCTTTCCACAAAGAGAACGTTATACTTTTAATGTGCCAGCGGCAGGAAGTTCAGTGATAACTTTAAGTGTAGCCTGAATGTAGTTTCCACTCTCCGGAGCCCATCATCGGGCCTTCTTAGCAAAGATCTCACGATGGCAATCTCAGTTGTTCCAGTCCCGTAGGCTCAGAGTTGCCTCTAGTTCCAGAAACTAAAAGGGCAACGTAAAGTGAAGGTTGTTTATCGTGAAATAACGTGAAATATCGAACTCGACATTCCAACAGTATTGATGTCTCTATGCTGCTGGCACAATGCACGATCTATGCCTTCCTCTAGTGTGGACGACGCGAGATTCGAACCGGGACGGCTCAGGGTTCTGGCAGACACCTACCCTCTCCGTGACCCCCTGGGTGACCCGGATGTGATCGCCGTGGGGCCGAGTGGACGGGGCGGGGTCAGCTGGGGGTCGATCAGGGGGGTCAGAGACAGAGACAAGTCACCCAGTACCCGGAGGATGAGTGCGCTACACAGGAAGAAGAGTCAGATCTCCGACACTCACCAGTACAGGTGGTGTTGTTTGTGTGTGTGTGTGTGTGTGTGTGTGTGTGTGTGTGTGTGTGTGTGTGTGTGTGTGTGA